CGTGGGGACGGGGCTGCGCCGTGCCCCGGGAGACCCCGACCCAGCCAGTACCGCACCGCGGGGCTGGAGCGTGGCCAGCCAGACCGTCCCGTGCCCCACCGGGGAGGGGACCAGGGGCATATTTCCATTTTTGGAGTATCTGTAATGTCTGCAGCTATAAACAGGGCAGTAAAAATAACTCCTCTGTGCCTCTGGGCTGCCCTGAGATGCCGAGAGTCACTCTGGGCTTGGAGAGACTGGAGCTTTTTAGGGCTTGGTCTGAAAAGCCCGATTATGGGAAGCCTATTTCTGGCTGTTGTGAACTTTTACGGCCCCTCATCGCTGTGGCCCCACCAAGCACTGGCTGGCTCCGGCCGAGCCCTGGAGCTGTGGATGGAGGAGAGCGGTGGGACTGGGGAGCAGAGGGCCAGCCCTGAGGGCGAGCCCCTCGCTGGGAGGGTGGCAGGTGGGGTACCGGCACCCTGCTGCTCACCCCTGTGCCCGTGCAGGTGGCCCAGCTGCTGCTGAACAGCCATCTGGCCCTCCGGGAGGGACAGGCCAAGGATGCCACCGACCCCAACTACCCCACCCCGCTGCACCTGGCAGCCAAGAACGGGCACAAGGAGATCATCAGGTAACCCCCCGCCAGCCCGGGACACTGCCCCATCCCGAAAAAACCCATCGTGGCCTCAGTCCTGCTTCCTCCCCAACCCATCTCCCCACTGCGGGCTTTGGTCCCTCGTCCCCAAAGCCTCAGCGATGCAAGGAGTTGTCCCTTCCCCTGCGTGAAGCCCTGGTGTCCGTGTCCTCCTGTCCATGCCTCTCCCTCTGTCCTACCAGGCAGCTGCTGAAGGCCGGGATCGAGATCAACAAGCAGACGAAGACGGGCACAGCCCTGCACGAGGCCGCGCTCTACGGCAAGACAGAGGTGGTGCGGTTGCTGCTGGAGGTGAGCGCGGCGGGGACAGGGCAGCACGGGGGGACAAGCCGCTGGGGTTCGGCCGTCACCCCCTTCCCCTCGGTCCCTCTGTCCCCCGTGGGTCTGGCAGCGGCTGCGAGGTCTCCCTGACCGTGTCCCCTCCCGGGCAGGGCGGTGTCGACGTGAACATCAGGAACACCTACAACCAGACGGCGCTGGACATCGTGAACCAGTTCACCACCTCGCACGCCAGCAAGGACATCAAGCAGCTGCTGAGAGGTGAGGTGGGGCTGGTGCGGGCGCTCCCTGAGGGGCTCCTTCCCCATGGGACCTGCCTGGGGCTCCCAGTGTTCCCCCTGAACAGCCTAAACCAGCCTGGCTGCCAGCAGCAGCATCCCAGTCCCATCAGGCATCCCCCCATCCTCCTTGCTGCAGTATTAATGTTCTCTTCTCCCCTCTCCTCGCTCTTGTTTTCTCCCTCCACCTTCCCAAACTGCTCTGTTTCCCCCTACGCCCTGGCACCTTCTTTCTTCCCTCCATCCCTTGTCTTCAGAGGCATCAGGAATCCTGAAGGTCCGAGCTTTGAAGGATTTTTGGAACCTCCATGACCCGACTGCTCTCAACGTCCGGGCAGGAGATGTCATCACGGTGAGGCTGCTCCCCTCTCCCTGCCCTCCTGCCCCCCCTACAAGCCCCGTCTCTCTCATCCCCACGGCAGGTCCTGGAGCAGCATCCGGACGGGCGGTGGAAGGGACACATCCACGACACTCAGAAAGGCACCGATCGGGTCGGGTACTTCCCCCCCTCTGTTGCTGAAGTCATCAGCAAGCGAACAGGTCAGTGACCGTCCTGGGCAAGCCGGGGACAGTCCCATGTGCGAAACCATCCCGGCCTTCCCAGCAGCTCCTGCAGGACAGATCCCCACAGCCCTGGCTAGCTAGGGGGGCGGAGAAGGACTCGGGGGGGGGGGGAATTTGGGGGTTGAGCTCAGCTATCCCCCCCCGTGCTGCCTCTTGCACGAGCTCTGACCACGCGTGTTTTGTCTTTGAATGCAGGCATGGTTGTTCCCCGCGCGGCGTTCGCATTTTCGGAGCAGGGCTGCCGGAGGCGCCCGGCACCGACC